TTTCATCCTTTGGGCCCATCTTCTTCCTCATCCACGTCCCCTGACTGACCTGAGCTGCCTCCCCTCGCTCCACATCTGAGTTCCTGCTTTTGATTCTGCATATGACGAGCCATGTTGTGACAGTTCCTCACCTGCACCACGTGGCCCCCTCGGCTCTCCAGAGAAAGCAATGGCGCTAGGTAGGGGACAGTAAAGATGAGGACGGCTCAGGAAGTCGCCATTTCAAGTGCTTGTGTGGAGCTGGAGAGATGGCTCAGTGGTTACGCGCATGTGCAGCTCTTCCCGAGGACTTGAGTTGAGTTCACGGCCCCATATTAGGCAGCTCACAACCGTCAGCATCTCCAGTTTCAGGGGATCCAGTGCTGCCTTCAGCCACTGTGGCCCCTTCACTCACATGCTCATAAACATACAAAGACATGCAAAGACACATCAAAAATTAAAAAAAATCTTTTAAAATTTATGCAAAGTTAAGTCTTTTAGTAAAATAAAAGTGTGAGGTGATGTGGACATGTTGACCCACATCTAGAGGCCCATGCTCAGGAAGCTTATGAAAGAAGAGTCAGGACTTCAAAGTCAGCCTGGGCTTTTAGGAAGTTTCAGGCCATGAGTATGTGTGTGTGTGACATGGGGGAGTTAATTCTCAGCTGCCTCTCAGGTCACACAGCCAGTCAGAGAGGCCCTAAAGTTAAATGTTTTACTGGCTGTCTTCTTTCTTTGCCACTATGGTCTATGCCCACTTAGGTTCTTTAAGCCTTCAGATGCTTGTGTTTTCAAATGGATGGGTCTGAGTTTACAGCTCAGCAACAGAGAACATGTTTAGTGTGCCTGAAGCCCTAGGTTTCGTAACCAGTACCATAGGAGAATATCATATATGTATATATGCTATCCTCCTGGCTTGACTGAGAACCTTCCAGGGTTTCCTCACATGCAGCCTACTGCATGAGCTCTGATGTTCACACTTTTCTGGATGGGACTGGTCCTGCCACTTGAAGTTTGCTTGACTCTATTCTTTCCTATAATGCATGTACATGATACAATATAAGGAATAAGATTATGGAGAAAATTGCCTAAATTTTATGAGTCATTTAAAACAGAATTTGTTAGATGCAAATGAATATTAAATCTATAGTATATTGGGAAACTTGTATGTGTAAGTAAATCTTTAACCATGTAGGCAATACATATAAGCTACACACAACATGACTTTCCCCATGCTATATGTAGAATATATTTTCCTCATTTTACATTTCACTTTAAAAGGTATTTCCCCTTATTTTTGTTAACCTGTAAGTAAAGATAATGTGTGTATTTAATTATGAAGAACTGGACATGGCATCTCACACCTAGAAGTACAGCAGTCAGGGGGCTTCTACAGGAAGCTTGCTAGTACTGCTGATTTATGTTCTGAAATCATGAAATTTTAATTTTATTATGACTTGTTGTGATGAAACAACTGTTGAGTCCACTTAACTAACAAAACATTCAGACAAAACAAAACCCTGGTTCATGAAGGCATTGGGGCTCAAAAGCTGTGATCCAGACCAAGAAGCTAGAAACAAAGGTAGTGCCAGCGCCCGTGGTTTGCTTATGCTCCTCTGTTTCCGCGTGGGCAGGTAGCGTTCCCTGGACATACAGCAAATGTAGAGGTCCCTTCCATTGTCCCAGGACCTTTCATGGCTTTGTTTCCTTCAGCTGAAAAAAAAATCCCCTTCTAGAAGTAACTTGGGGGTCCCAGGAAGTCATCTTTCCATATAAGGTTGCACTTAAACGGCAAGTGCATCTAGGCGCTTATATCATAAGAGGACACAAATGCCCTCTTGTGATGTCCCTGTAGGCCAGGGTTAAGGGAAATCGATTTAGCAGCAGTGTGGGTGAGAACTTTCATTTTCAAATATGTGTCACTTCATTGTGCAGCTGAATTCGTCCCCAGCCTAAGCAGCTAGTTGGTCTACTAGTTCATACATAGTACGTCATTATTAGATAAGATGCATCATAGAGCAGCCTTCATGTAATGTAACAGCTTCCGGTCAAGATCAACAAATAGTCTTCAAGCCGTAAAGGCTCAGAGAGCTGCATGGGTTTTGTTTTTTTGTTGTTGTTGTTGTTTTGTTTTGTTTTGTTTTGTTTTTTTTAATGAAGCCCCTCGTGATTGACAGCTCGCTTGTGTCCATCTCTCTGACTTCCTAGCTGCCCGGCTAAGGACTCCGACTTTAGAAGTACTTTGCTTCTGCAGGTGTTTCAGAGGGAGTGGAAAAAACCTGTCACCCAGATGGAGGGGATTTCCTTGGTAACATGCATGGAAGCTTCAAAGAAAGCTTGGGGGAAGACACACACACGCACATACACACACCCACAAACACACACACACACACATCAGTAGTTTGGCCTCATCTCTGGTACCTCTCCACCTTACAGCTACACTTAAGAAACTCCCGAGAAATCCCAAGGGACACTGCCCAGAACTTGGCAGCTTCCGTTCGCTCGTCCAAGCACTTCTAACAGACTTCACAACTTCATTTTCCAGCAGGTTCTGAGTCTCACCCCATTCTAGAGCCTTTGAGAAACTATAGAAAGCCCAGATTCCCGGGCCCCATCATTCGTGACTTAGTCAGAATATTGGAAGTTGGTACCATCTATCACCTAACAGCTAAGGGGAGTTCAGTGTGTGGAATGGCCTGCAAGTCACTGCAGCTGTGTGTACTGTATAAATCTTGCATTCTTCACCTATGAAGCTTCTGTTTTGTAAATGTTTTATTTTTTTAATTGTCTTGTCTCTATTCTTTCAATGGCAGTTGACTGTGGCCCAGAGAGCTTTCCCTGCGGTTGACCCCATCTCACAGAGGGTGTGGGGGTTGTCAGACTTGCAGAAGCAGGGCTCCCAACCTTCGCAGTGCCTGGTCTTGTCTTTAGTTGTTTCCATGGCCTCTGAAAAATCATTCATTCATACCGTTTATTATAACCTGTAGCTCTTGATGTGATTTTCCTCCGATATTAAGTGTGGAAGTGTCCCCAACTTGATTAGCTTTAAGCCAGTAAGCCATCACCAATAGCCACAGACCAGCCCATTCAAAAGACACCTCACAGAGCGACTTCCTGCTAGCTCCACAGTTTTTTTCATAATGTTCTGATACTAAACATCATCAGCTTAGGAAGAACATTAAGAAGTTACTGCGTAAATTGTGTGATTATGCCCCAAGTCATGATGCCATAGCTGAGTGAGGCACTGACGTGCAAGAACAGTCTTCCAGACCCCAGGTCCCAGAACTGAGAAGGGGAATCCTTGGCCTCTTCCTTCCCCTGACACTACAGAGTCACTTGCTTCCCTGGCATCTTTTGTTTTCCTGTCACCTGCCATTTTAAGGAATGTGTTAGTCGGATCTCTTTCAATAAGAAAAAAAATTCTCAGATAAGACATCAACTATGAAAAGAAAAAATTACATGTTTTAGCTCACAGCACCAGAGGTTTTGATCCATGGTCCTTGGCTATGTCACTTTGGGTCTGTGGTGGCACAGTATTCCATGGGAGTAGCAAATCCCAGAGAACCTTGCAGCCAGGATACAGAGAGACACCATCTCCCAGCAACCTCCTAAGTGCTCCTAGGAGCACTCCCCCAGTAACCTAACTGCCGCTCTATGGGCCCTATCTCCCAAAGGCTCTACCACCTTCTAATGGTACCCCAAGATAAAAATCAATCTGTCAATCAAGGACCTTTGGGTGACATTTAAGATACAATCCATACTAAGGAGCAACCGTCCTGAAGCTCCACCTTGCAAAATTTCTATAAGGATAAATCATTCCCGGGGAAGGTTTGGTTTGGTGCATTGGATGTGTGGAAAGGACAAAGCCAGCACATCCACAGAAGCAGCATCTTCCTTCAGGAGACCTCAGTCTATATTTAGTAGCCCTGCATTTAGTCTTAGTGTAAATTTTGAGTAAGAAGTAAGCTTGGGGTGTCATGCTCTCAGAGAAAGTTCCCAGAGAAGGGAGGTACAAACCACAGAGCTGAAAAGTTGCAACTCGTGTGCGTTTGCGATGGTGGCTGTAATTTGTCTGCTGTGAGCCGTCAGCAGGGGGAGAGAGCAGAGCAGCGCTGTTGGCCGTCTGCTCTGACCTTGGTGACCTGCAGTGTGCCCATGCTCTTTGGTGTTCCAAATCTTACTCCTGTTTTTTTCTTGTGTTCGTGGTAGTTAAGATAGAGTGTTATAAGCAGCCCCCAGGCTTGAGCCTCTTCCAGGGGCCCTGTGCTTCACCTTCTCCTTCCTCCTGGGAAGCCAGCCATCTGGGTAAACCATTTTGAATGTTATTGAGACAAGCACATTAGGGATTTCTCTTGGTTTTCTGAATGACTGAGTTAAATCAGTCTAGGTTGCTGGTTGACTGCTTTTACTAGAGAGGTGTACACTGCAGAGCTTTCCCCAGCGTTGCGCGTTTTTCTCACTCTGTCCCTAGCAGGGAAAGAGAGGAGGAAAGGAACCAGGGGTCAGTGGTGGTATAAAACAGGTCGATGGGGTGCTACCACATGGATTTACAAATACGGTCAATGCAGACTTTCAGAAAAGTGTCTGACATCAAGGATATGAACTCCTATGGTGACAAGAAATACATCTGACTGAAAACATCGTGAGTGTTAGCACATGTATGTGTCTCTATTGACACCAGAGTTTGCAGGACTAAGTTCTGTGTGGCACAGGTCCACTGTTTCGTCTTCTTCCGTGTGAAGCTGAGGTCAGTGGTCAGCCTGGACACGCTTAAACAATGGTGAGAATACACTTGAAGTAAGTATTTTAGAGCCAGAGTTGAGACGTTGCCTATCTGTCCGTGTGTGCCTAGCTGTGCCTCCTCCCCTGGTTGTATCCCCAAACTCTGGACCTTATAAAGGAGAAACAGCTCGACTGCATCTTCTTTCCTATGTTTTATATTTGGGTCCAGTTACTATGACGATGTCACAAATAATTATTTTGATCTCCTTTCTTGCCCTTCCTCTTACTCCTGGCATCAGCGGGGCGAATATTCCAGGATACACCGGCAAGGTTCATTTCACGGCCACCCACCCAACAAATTCTAATATTCCATCCACAAGCCCGTCACCAGATTCGGAGATGAACCGGTAAGTAGGAATCCTATTACTCAGTTTGCTCACGTACATTAGAGAGAGAGATGGTAATTATGGTTATTCCATTAAAGAACAATTAAATACTAAGAGTAAATTTGCAGTGCTTAAGAAAAAATGGAGTGCCAGGTCCTAAAAAGAAAGCAGTTCATTTTCCTACCGAGGGGGGACTTTACTCAGAATTGTCTTGGAAAAAAAAATGCGGGTTAATGGTCCTGTTGACAGTGCTCATAGAGGTCCCTTAAGGATCTTATTCGGAGCACACTGTGAGAAAGTATCTTTCACCTCTGAGACCCCCCCCCAGTTGTGCACATACATCATCCATCGGCTGCTATCAAAGCTGCATGCTACCTAGTGTGTGCACCAAGAGCTACTAATTTGCTTTCTGTGAGTGTCTTTTTATAAAGAAAAAATTCTGTTGAAACTCACACATATTTTAATGCCCGTTTTTTGCAAGTTGCAACAGAAGGCATATTGCCTGAGAGAACCCAGACCCAGAAAGATAAATATCATCTGTACTCACTCATAAGTGGCTTTTAGACACTCAGAAAAAAAAACCCTACAATTCACAATCCCAGAGAATCTAGACAGCAATGAGGACCCTAAGAGAGGCATACATGGATCTAATCTACATGGGAAATAGGAAAAGACAAGATCTCCTGAGTAAGTTGGGAACATGGGGACCATGGGGGAGGATAGAAGGGAAAAGGAGGGGGGGGGGAGTGGGAAAAAAATGTATAGCTCAATAAAAACAATAAAATATGCGTTAAATTTTTTTCAAAAAAAAGAAAGAAAGAAAAATCAGTGGGTGGAAAGAATGGGGGAATACTTTGCTGACAATCAGAAGTGAGAGGCAGGGCACCGCTCTCATGATAACTCAGATTGAAAGCACCGGGTGAAAGTCCTGACCTTGGATAAAAGGACTACACAGCTCTGACAGGGCAGACACCACAGAGGCTAAGGCTAGCCTGTGCAGGTGAACAAGATGTTTGGGGGCCCTCCCCTAAGTCTACTTTTCTCTTTCGACCACATTCCTTCAGTGGGAGAAAATTCCATTTATCACATATTCATCTCCGCTTGGGCCAGGCACTGAATGCGCATATCCCCACACTTAAATCCAGAATTGTCACATAAACACTTCAGAAGAGCACAGGAGGGCCAGGCATGGTTGCACATGCCTTTAATCCCAGCACTCACTTGGAGGGCAGGGACAAGCATATCTTTCTATGAGTTCAAGGCCAGCTTGGTCTACATAGAGAGTTTCAGGCCATCTGGGGCTAGATCATGAGGTCCTGTCTCAAAACAAACAACAAAAAACTACACATCACTGAAGAAATGGAAATGTGGGAGTCCTGAAGCAGCCTAATGTCACGGAGATGTCATTATGTTATAATCTTATAGTGCTGGCATCTGGAATCTGCGCTCTGTGGCTAGGACTAAGGCTAGCACGTGACCATTGAGTAGAGCTCCTCTTTCCAAGGATTGGAATATTCTGGAAAGCAGTAGCTGGAAATGGGAACAGCATCCAAGAAGAGGGTCGCCTAGCTGTTCGTTTGGTTGTTCACTCATCCATTTTTGTTTGATTTGAATGTCCTCTGATTATATGATCACACCCTGGCAGTGTCCCAACAACTCATAGAAGGACAGTTTGTTCACAAGGAGAAAGCAAGAGACTGAACACGAAAAAAACTTCAGCGAAGATGCATACCCAAAACCATAACAGGCTAATCTCTCTTTACACTCAGTTGCTGTTACTGTCTGGGTACCGAACTAGGAAGGGACTCTTACCAACCACATTTCCCACGTGAGGAAATTGAGGCATGCACTTGCAAACTGCAAGGGCTTGTGGGGGTGCTGGAGAAGATCTCACAGTAGAATTGCCCCCAAGAAGTGACTCTTGGAAGGGAAGGACTTGCTTGGCCTCAGAAATTTGAGGGTCGTGTGACAGCAGCCCCACCAAATGTAGAAGGGAGTCTTAGGAGGATGGAAAGGGCCCCCTCAGGCCTGTGTGCTCCACATCTCTCAAGCCTTTTCTGTAAGCATAACATTAAAGGAGAGGAAAGGTACCAACTAACAGTGTTCGTCATCCGCATATGTAAATTGCTGGTTTGACAAACCATGTTGAATACCCAGCCATCCAGTTCTGAACAACTCAACAGGAAGTTAGTGCTTTTCAGGCTAAAGTTCGGATTCAGTTTAATTTGCTTCCAAGGCATTTTTTTCCGATCTCAATATTTATATGTATAATTTTAAAAAAAATAAAATTTTTGTGTGTATCTAAAGGAATATGGTGTTATAGGATACCTATATAGATAGATGGTTATATAGTCGAGCAGATTAACATACCTTTCATCTCTGTTTTGCAAGAACAACTAAAATCTGCTCACAGAACAAAGTTTCCAATGCAGTGTGCTATTACCCAAAGCCCTCACACTGTGTTAGATCTCCAGACTTCTTAGCTCTTGCCGTGCTTATCCTCTGACCTACATCTTCCCACTTCCTCCTGCCAATCATCCATCTTCTCCAACCACTGCTCTCTACCTTTGTATATTTGGGGTTGTGATCATGCAATATTTTCTTCTATTTCTAGACTGTACACTTAACATAATGTCTTCTCGGCTTGCCCGTGCTGTTGCATATGTCAAATTTTTCTTTTTATATTATTCAGACTCTTTTATAAGACTGAAGAATATTCCAGGGGGACTTTGATATGTATAGTTATATCATAATTTGTTCATCCATCAATAGGCACCTAGATTATCCCCTATCTTGGCTATCTATTATGAACGTGTGATATAGGTATCTCTTTGAAGCAGTTTTTATATCTGTGGATGCGTATGCAGTGAAATTGCTGGATCATCTCTGAACTTCATTTGTTGCACGTCCAAGGCCTCCCATGCCGATTTACACAATGGCTGGAGCAATCTACATCCTCTTCAACATTGTGAAAGATGCTCTCTTCTCCGGTCTCTCCCATGTTCCCTGTCTTTTCTCCTCTTGATAAAAGTCATGTCATCCTAATGAACGTGAGATGCTGTCTCGTTGAGTTTTTATTTACATCCTCAAGTCATTAGTGATTTGAAACATTTTTCACATACTTTTTTTTTTACTTCTTTTTTGAAGAATGTCTAAGCAGGTTCTTTACTTATTGAGGGATTTTGTGGTTGAGTTGTGTGGGTTTTTCGTATACCTTGGATGTTAACCCTTATAAGACACATAGGTCACAAGTATTTTACCCACTCCCTACGTTGCTTTCTCATCTTATTATTTGCTTATTCTGCAGTGACTTTAATTTGCTTCATTCCCATCTATTTTTTGACGTGTAGCCTCAGCTTTTGGTGTGATATCCAAGATATCGTTGCTAAGGTCAATGACAAGACACATTTCAAATGTTACAAGTCCGTTTCTGAAAGCAAGGCTGGTAGACACTGAAACTACTACAATTTTGTTGTATATTAAGAACATAAAGAAACAATGTCAGCCATCAGATATATCCTTATGCCTATCAGGATACAAGAGTGGAGGTAAACAATTCTGGCTGGGTCTGGTTCATGATTTTGATTTCCAACCCAAAGACTCTCATTAGAGCAAATGCAGGCATTTTTCACCCCTCTCCCTTCACAATCCTCTTAAACCTCGATTGTGTGAGGCTTTACCCAGACATCCTGTTGCTGTGACACCTTCCCACACATCCGCACTGTTACAGAAGCAGACAATCCAAAAGGGGGCAAAAGGCTCCTTTTGTCTTTGAGATAAACCTCTACTTCTAAACACAAAGGTCTTTGCTTTGTAACCAGAGAGAAAAACTCAACTCTGTTCCCACCCCATCGGGCTCTTGACAGCTCCCATCAGTTGTCCCCAACACACACAATAAATGTATGTCCTTTGTTGCCCCAGACTGAGGACATGGAATCCTCGTAGGTGACTTGTCTGAGGTTCCTAATCTGGAGCAACAACGACCAGTGTTTCCCTCAGTTCGGGACTGCTTGTTAGCTCCACTCGGCCCAGCCTACAGCACACAGTCAGCCCACACAGAAACCTTCAGTGCTTGAGGAAGGTGCTCTAGCCTGAGACAGCACAGTCCAGAGGGAAAGGAAGAGTGTAAATTTAAATTATCTCTCTGCACTGACTTAAAGATGATGCTTCTAGCACGAAGGCGGGCATTCAAAGCTCATCTCTGACATCGCTGACATTTTTGTAGCACTATATAAACACTTTTTTGAAATTTTCTAGGGCAAGGGTAAAGCCATGTGTCTGCCTGCTGCACATGGTAAGGACTCCCGTGAGTGGCTTCCCTCCTGTTCGTGTCTGCGTGGTCTAATGCATGTTTCCTGTTGTGTTTTGTTCCGAGCATCTCATTATCTGGGAGCTTCGGCATCTCTGGCTCCGCTGTATGATTTCTGTGCTTCTGCTGTCTGTTCCTCTTTTTTTCAGCCACCTACACCTGTCTTGGAGTGACTGTAACCGAGCCTTTCCTAACCTTCTAGTCCTTTCCCCATGTCCCTGTAGAGACCTGAGCCATCCAAACTGGCTGCCTTGTTCCCTCTGCTACTCCACCCTCCTCCCCACCAGTCCATCACTGGTTCTTTCTCTTCCCCCTAGGAAGATGTACACTCACCTTTCCCTCTCAGCTCCGAACCCTCTCCATTTCTGCTCACTTCTTAGCATCTGGCCCCTCTCTGCTGACTGGCCAGGTGCTTAGGGAAAATCGAGGTCAGGAACCCTCACTGTGCCCCTCCAAACCAACACCCTCTTTCTCCTTTTCTCCTCTCCTTCTTTTGACTTCCGAACTTCTTAACGAAGCAGACAATGACTCTCAGCACCCAGCTTCCACTTTCTCTCAGCCTCTTCCCTAACCTTACATCATCTGGATTCTGGTAGCATCAGTAGAGGGAAGGACTTCTGCCAGGTTGAGGACTAGCTCAGGCACAGGAGAGGGGACGGCTGACAACTCTTCAAACAGGGGACAGGATCGTGCATTTTCCAGGGATCTTTGCATCATAGAAGACTTCAGGGCCAACCTGAGATTTTTAATTGCTTAGACTTTGGAGGATGTATGAAAAGGAGTCTCCATTCTGAATCTCAAGTCAGGCACAGTGAACTCCAAGTGCCTTCCGATGCACATGGGGCCAGGATGCCGAATAGAAGGGAAAGAGACAATGAGAGGAGATGCCAGAGGAGGAGATGGACACATGCTTGAGGTAGATAGGAAGGAACAGGTGTGCAAACATGTCTCTCAACTCTTATTTCCATTGGAGTCTGCTGTTCTCTGTGTGGTCCTTACTCTAGGCTGTTGCCTACACAGAAGCTATGCCATTGTCTACAATACAGGTTAATAATAGCACGCTAACTGTAGCTCAAATATAAAGCTACTTCAGATTGCATGGCTACACAGGGGTTACTTTCTCACAGTGGTTCCCTGACTTTTGCTGCATACAAACATTGCAGTGTACGTATGTGACCAGCTTCATGCACATTCATAGCGGAGACCTACATATAAAAGGTTCATGGGTTTGTTCAGAATAATTGGTATGATGCACCCCAATCCTGCTCTTGGGAGGTATCCCAGGGGATAAAACCTTATCTTCATAGCAGTCCATATTTTCAGCTTTCTTTCCATTAATTGTTAGAAAAAGCTTGGTAGGATAGATTTATTCCTATTGTACAGATCAGCAAACTAAGGCACAGGGAGGTTATAGCTGAGCAAGCAGACAGTTTCAATCCAGGGCAATCACAGAAATACAGTCTCCGCATTCTGCTCCTTAGTTCAGTGGCTGTCCGGAGCCTGTGTCTGTTTCTCTAGTTCACCAGCCCCAGGCTCAGGTGCCTGCCTTCCTGTGTGTTCACCATCCACCATTCCTTGCCACTGCCTCCAAGCAGACTTCATGCCAATACCCTTCTCTCTCCCGGGGTGGACCTATCTCCCGGGTCCTTCTATCACAGACTTCTTACAGCAGTGTTTTAATCGACCTATGTTTACCTCTTTCCTAAGCATTTGCTACAAATCTAAAAAACATTCTCAGAAGACAGGGCCAGGCACACGGCACAGGAAGCAAAGCAGGGGTGGTCATTCCCAGCCTCCTCCTCTGCTAGTCTCTACCCCATCTTTTCTTTCTATTTCTGTGGATCATTTATTGCATAAAAGATGAAATATTTGTTTTCATGTTAATTATCTGTCATTTTTTTTTCTCTTTGTTCCCATTTTGATCCTAGAATTTTCCGACAAGAAATGGTAGTTGACCGCTTCCGTCACCAGGCCCCATTGTCCAGAATGGTCACAACTGTGAGGCCCTACAACCCCTTCAACAGGAAGGAAAAAGAAACCGTTGATTAATTACAGACACCACGCCCCTGAGAGACCTCTAAGCCCCAGCTGGGGGGAGTGCTTTGTACACAGTGATGGAGAAGCAAAAGACTGCAGAATGTTCTAACCGTGTCTGTCTTTGTGAGGTGGGGTACCAGACAGGCGACATGTCCAGGCCTGAGCTCAAGCACCCTCTTCCCCCTGGTGATGGCTGCTCAGCCTGGTCTGTGGTCCATGATTGCAGCTGGGACCCAGAGTGCCCCCCACAGAGAACCCGTCTTCAGTGTTGGAATACTGGGCCTTCCTAGATGGTCCTGAGATTGAGGATGAGAGATGATCTTCATGTTCAAAAATTGAGCAATGGCGACAATGGCATTCATTCTTTCTGTCACCTAGGGGATAATACCACATTGGAGAGGGGTGTGTGTGCACCATCTAGAGATGGCTAGGCAGAACGCTCTCTTTTCTACTCCAGGATTTCCACTCTAAAGAATGAAGCATTCCCTGGCTCACTGGGATTCCTCGGGCAGACCCCTCCTGAGGAGTGTGGCCTGACTGTGCTTACCCAAGGCGAACACCAGCAGCAGAAGTGCCCCCAAACTCTCCCCAACAGTTCTATTCATAGGCCCAGGAAGCACACGTGTGCTAGTTTGTATACATCTGTAAGGGCCTGTTAGAATCATAAAGTACTTTCCTAATCTTAGCTCACTTGATTCTGCCACCCCATAACACATTCTTGCAGTGAGTGTTGTACACATCGCTTGCTGGTTTACGAAGAAAGCACAGGAAAGCTAAGAGTCAGGCGCTCATCTTGGGACTCAGATTATCGGCCTGTAGATAACTTACCTTCACTCTGACCCAGTTCTGTGCAGACTGCGTAACCATCCATGAATTGCTTACAAACAAATGAAATGAGACAAGGAGGAAAAACTCCAGGTGCCTCTAGTTTTCCGAAGTGCTACCCCAGGGGCGCTGCATGGCGTCTTGCTCTCCCTCAAAATACGGAAGAGGGGAGTTCACCACAGAACTCAAATAAATGTGCAGAGGCCTTTGAGGGAAGCCAGGACATCGCTTTCCCACAGAAAGAAAATAAAGTGTAGCCCCCTTTCTGCTGTGGAATGATAAGCTGCCTTGGTGGACTAGGAAATCATTTTAATGTTGACTCCTGTGCAGTCAGTAACAAACGGAGAAGCAGCAACCATTGGACATGCTGAAGACATGACTCGCCTTTGAGGAAAAAGAAGTGCTTCGCTTGAGCCCAAATGAAACTCTAGTTACTTTCAGAAATCGCTCAAGTCAAATCTGTCATTATTGTCACATTGAATGTGAACATCCCCCTCACACGTCCTTGTGTTCTAACACTTGGTTCCCAACTAGGGTACTGATGGGGAGCCCAGTTGGAAAAAGTGGCTGCTCCTGGAAAGGCCTTTTAAATTGTAGCCTAGCCCTGATTAGGCCTTATCTTAGGTCCCTTCTTATTGCTGTGATAAAAAAACAACATGACCCAAAGCAACTTGGGCTTATTTCATCTTTTGTTTTATAGTCCACCATGAGGACCATCGGGGGAAGGGGCTTAAGGCAGGACCTGAAACAGAGGCCATTAAAGAGTACAACTTACTGGCTTGCTCCTCACAGGCTTGTCCATGGGCCAATCTGACAGAGCCAGTTCTTCAGCTGAAGCCCCCTAGTCCCAGGTGGTCCCTGCTTGTATCAAGTGACAAACTAACCATCCCAAGACCAGACGCATCGCCCAAAGCACAAAGGTGTGAGTGAGGAGTCTTGTCTTCCCACCACCAGGTTGCTGCCTACCCCAAACTTTCCCTGCCGTGAGTCTGCATCCCCCCCGACCCAAGAAGCAAAACAATCCTTTCTTCTTTCCGCTGCTTCTTCGGGTATTTCATCACAGCGGTGAGAGAAGTCACTTTCAGAAACAAATAACCTCAAACCAAAATAAAACCTTCAATTCTGGAAAACGCTTAGTGAAAGGCAAATGGAGTGGAATTAGCTCATCTAGCAAGTAGATGAATATGATACCTGAGGTTCAATTTTCAGCAAATATTTCAGTGGGGCCACATGTCAGGGGTGTTGCTGCTCGACCCTGAGGTACCTGCTCATCTTTCTGGGTTTTTTTTTTTGTGGCAGGACCCAGTAACAGCTCTTGTGACATTTTGCAATCTGAAGCACCTCCATTCTCTACAGTACAGATACCAGGTTCTTGTGCCCTTCCCAAGCAGCTTCTGAGAAGACGTCAGCTCCATTTTGCGTCATTCCCGTGACCTCACTTAGAGGAAACCTTTGGTCTATAACTCAACCAGGCTTCCCATCTCTGAAGGCCCAAGGTGAATCCTGCTCACCACAGACCAAGAATATGGGCCAGGAAAAGCCACAGAGAGCAGAGGCATAGCGTGTTCCCGGCCTGGGAGTATGAGCTATAGTAATGCTTCGGTAGTCGGCAGTCCAGTCAAAGCTGAATAGCACAGGCATAGGTGTGCATTTGCTCTTCAAATTTTGCAGCTTTAGACTTGGATTACACAGATTACATCAGGGTCCAGTACAGAGTCACATTTTCCTCTCGTTCGGTGCCCTGGACAATGTCGCTCTCACAAATTTTATATCTGTGAGGCATATAAAAGAGAACCTCTGATATTTAATTCAGTTATAAATCATGGCATGCATGTCCAGTGTGGCAGTACATCCCTACAATCCCAATTACTCTAGCGGCTGAAACAGGAGGATTACTAGTTCAAGGCTAGCCTGAACAATTTAGCTTATCTCAAAATATTTTTTAGTGACCCAGAAAAATTGACTCAGAGGTAGAGCACATGTCTAGCTGCCCAGCTTATTCACCTTGAAGAAAAAAATGCATGCTAATATTACTCCAGCAATTTTGGAAGTTCGCAATATGAGAAAGGTGAGCCTTGTGGTAGAGCAGAGAAAAACTCCAGAAATGGACAGATGAAATCATTGTATACTCATGGGTGTAATATAAATTTTGTTTAACATATGATATTAGGACAAATATAAAGAAACAGAAAGAAATGTAGTAGGCCCTTCTCTAGGGCCTGTGACCAGCCATGGGTAATTGGCTAGGTTTACAGTCCCAGGCCTGAATTCCTTCCTCTTGCACCATCCTTACATCCAATTAGAAGGCTGGTTGTCCCTGATGTGTGTCATTACTGCACTCGGGGTTATCTCGCCCTGCTAGTCGTTGCTGAGGGCCAAAGTCTTTATGGACGGGTAGACTATCAATTGCTTGTGTCCTAGTGACGATAAGGCCCACATGGCTCAGCTGGGAGAGCGTTAGACTACAGAAACGAGAAGTGGGAAAGCTTTGGTGCCTCCTGAAGAAATGGTTTTGAGAGGAGAATGCTAGGCAGAGAGAAAAGGGATTAAAAAAAGGGGGGGCATTTGCAGGCAGCTGCTTCTAGGGCACCATTTGCGACACATGCTTATCAATGCTAGCTTCCTCTGTGAACATGACATTGGCATCGCTGGTAGCCTTTTCACTGCTGACAACAGGTCCCTTCCTCATCTGGAGACTGCTCTGAGATCTAGGACTATCAGCGTAGTGGCAATCCCCTGACACAAACTCCATGGTCCCTCAGTCAGTAACCCACTCTGCAAATGGCTTTGGCAATAACTGATAATACACTTTGGTAGAGACAGAAGGAGTATCTCTTGCCTAGAGGAGAAGACAAGGAGAAAGTCCCGGTTTATATTCTCAAGATGCACCTAAAACATCTTAAGAAGACATGAGGAATGACTGTCCCCTTAAAGAGATACATACTTATATGGCCACGAAAGCGCCTCCCTTTCTGCAATTGCTTGCACAACCTTACTGCTAAGCCCACCCACTTTCTGAATTATAACTCATGAAGAATTTTTTTTCTCTTCATTTAATTTCTTTTTTTATTTAGACCTTGGTCAGAATCCTAAGACTCCTGGTCCGAGCCACTCCTCTCTCTCTCTCTCTCTCTCTCTCTCTCTCTCTCTCTCTCTCTGCCTCTGTCTTTCTCTCTTTCTCTCTCTCTCCTTCCCCCCTCTGCTTCACACATGCATGTGGTGGGTGTGTGGTGTATGTGGGTGTGTACACCCACCCCCACCCACATAATGGCTAGCAAATTTCCATTTCTGGGCCTGTCTTCTTCCTCAATCTCAATTGAGAAATATTAACTTTTTCTCTTTTTCCATCTTTCGTCTCCCACGAGCTGCCAAGTTCTGCAACTTGCCTGTCTGTCCTGTTGCTTTCTCTGAAGCTTCCATAACATTTTCCTTGTTTCCTTTAGAGCCTGTTTTAAAATCGAGATACAAGCTTTGCAATCTTGAAAAGAGACCCTAGGTCTTCAAATGACAATATCCGAGTCTAAGAAACTAATTAGTTTTCCATCTTCATCTTTTATAAGCTTGAGGGGCCTCATAGTATAGAAATAAATAAAATAAAATGGAGTGAGACATTTGTTTTCCTCTGCCTGCCTCGAAGCTCAAAGTTGATTAAATAATCCCATTAACATAGAGACGCAGACAAATGGAAGACAGGTTTCACATTTAAAACCGCTATTTTAAGAAAGCCTTTGAGTCACCCTGGGGCACACCCAAACTCTAGTGGTTTGTCGACCTGCTTCCCCACCCACTCCCACTTTCAGCACAGGTCTAGGTTCTTCTCTGTCTACTTCAGGTCCTTATGGCCTCAGGAGGTAGCTTAGATGATTGACAATACACCCACTACACTAAAAACAAACAAACCTTTCATTTATTTCCCAGAAGTGTCGAACTCAGAGTGGGGTAGGGTTGCTGAATCTCTTCTGATCTCTGCTCAGAGTGACTTTGTGGCCAGAAGAGGCAATTCCCTGGTAATCTGAACAAACTAACAGCCAAGAATTATTTCAGAATACATTGAAAATACTCGAGTATAGACCTATTTGCTCTACTTAGTCCAGAGTAGGTTGGATGATTTTTCTGTCTCTCTAGACTTACAGTATTTATGGTACAACTGTAGACTAGTATTCATCAAAGGCACAGAAGAAAAGCTCCAAGCTGAAGAGCTACCATTAACTATGGAACAGGTTTGTTTGTAAAACATTTTGGGGATTGGTATAAAAATGTTATCATGAAACCCATTATTGTGTACAAATAATATATGCTAATAAGAAGATTAATTTGAAAAACAGCATGTTTTCATCTCTGCTCTTATCATCCTGGGGCATTCAGGTTTGTATTGTGGCTTCCATAATCAGCCTGAACAAGCCTGAGGTTTGCCTCCCACTCTCCAGCTGAGATACTTCAGTCACCTAATAAAAATGTATAAACTACACTATAAATATAAACATAGTGCTGGTATTCATATTCATTCATTCGCTAGAACTTCGAGGCACAACAATGGGGGAATTTCTAAGGGGATCAATAAGTAATGAGCAGCTATGTACAAAGAGCCATTAAACAAGCCGGATTTGTGCCAAGGAGCCTTGGCGAGCATGAGCCTGCCATAGCCTCGGCTCAGACAAGCTGCACATTAAATCTTTAGCATTTTTCTCCTAACTGTGATGCATTTCTAAATATTAAAATTGTCATTTTCTAAGTGTACCTCTCATATACATGTGTTAGGTAACTAGCCAGATATTAGCGCGCTCGAGGATGGACCACCCTCCCTCATGATTGACTCGGGACCCCACCTCTTGTTTCCCTGATGGCACTAGAAATAAAAACATCACATCTGTCCCCTTAGTATTGCAAAGCCAGGTGAACATGCAGACACCTTGGGGCTTTGTTGAGGCCCATGAATGAACAGCTACTTCCTCCTGCCCAAAAGGATGGAGTTTCAACTCTGCCACTGACCCTGGGTGGAGAGAGGACATTGTCATCTTCCTCAAAGATGAAAACACTACATTCAGGCCAGAAGATGGCTTGGCAGGTAAAGATGCTCACCACTAAGCCTCATGTCCTGAGTTCAACCCTAGGACCCACATGGTAGAAAAGAGAATTAATTACTACATTCCTACAAGTTGTGCACGCAGTGGTACAAGTGCTTGCCCCCTCCTCTCTCACACACACACCTATATAAACAAATAATGATTGCAATAAAAACAATTTAAAAAAAACAATTACATGTTATTGCAAATGCCCTTAAGAGTTAATGTAAGTGGAACTATCTATCACAACCCTACAGAAAGCTCCCCCATGATTCGAAAACTAGCATGGATCCTGCTTTGGAATATAAAATCTGAGCAGAGACCCTTTTGGTCATTGCCCACTCTCTCCCTTAGGAATGTTTCACTCCATTCTGCAGTAAATTCTGTTGACTACACCAGGGTCTGTAGCACACTCTTGCTTCCGTTCTGCACTGGGCATCTCTTTGGGTTCATTTGGCAGAGATCATGAGGGCCGGGGAAGCAATGGTGAGCAAAGCACCATCCCAGTGACAGAATAAATGGATATATCTGAAAGGTGAGGCAGTAGACAGTAGTAATGTGCCTTTACCTTAAAAGCTACTTGCTTTGTGAAAATGAAAATACATGGGCTATTCTGGAACTGGGGGAGCCCCTGTTGATTCTCAGGGAATGGGAATCTAGAAGGATCCAGGAAGCAGTTTTATAATCCCACAGGAAAATGCAAAGATTTCCAGCCAGCTACCATCATTTTCAGACCTGGTTGTTTTAGTTTGGGGGCATCTTTGCTTATACAATCTACCCAAGTGGCATTCAGAAACAATACTGCGGCTTTAATGAATGGCTCCCCTTTTTAAAATTTGCTTGTTGCTTTCTTTCACTGTGGTTGATTTTTTTTTTTTTAGTATACTCTCAATCGCTGTTAAGATATTTCTCACCCCATCCTCTGTAAAGGACATTTCCTCATGCTCGTCGGAAGGCTGGCCTGGAGAGTCCCAGCAGTCTTATATCTAAACTGCTGTTGTGGTTAACAGGTGGGGGCGGGACTGGCTTCCTCCCGCCAGCCCCCAGATGTTGCAGACTACTCTGTGTGGGTTTCCAGGGCAAGCTCTGCTGATTCGGGCTTGTAAGCTGTAATGGAAACAACTTTACTTTGTCACATTCACACTTTGGAAATAAAGCCCTAACACGTGTTCGGCATAAATCTATTTTTCCAGCTCTGGGAGACCGTTTTTTATTGTGTCGTCTGCGGGCAGAGCCACAGATAAAAGATAAAGCCAGACTTAGTGAGCACCCTGTGGGACAAGCAGGAAGAGGCGTCTGAGCAGAGAAGGAAGGAGCAGGGCCCCAGGTTCAAGGAACTGTGGGGTTATAGGGTGTGCAACCGCTCCAACAAGTCCATGAAAGTCAACCACACAGAACGCCAGATCAAGGTTGCAGTCTTGGCTTGGATTGGTAGCCCTCAGTGACTGCTTGCCCGTGCAAAGCATAACCATAGGTTCTCTTGGGTGATTGCTGAGCTTCAGGGCACCACTGGGACTGGTGAGAAGAGCCCTGAGCAAAGCAGAAATCAAGCAGAGAGTCTGTCAGATAGATGAAGGGAAGAAGAGGAAGCATTGGTGATGTATCTGAACAGTGTGCTGTCTGTTCCCTACTAGAAAGGATGGTCCTAGGTCAGCAATTGCAAAACAAGGTCAGTGTTCTAGGTAAATGCAACTGTCTCTTAGTGTATTTGGGGGAACTTGTTCTAGGACCCTGTGGACAGCGGAATCTACACACTCGAGAGGCTTAGATAACATGTCAGAATGTGCACACAACCTATCCACACCTTTCCATATACTCTACCAACCCTAGACTATTTATTGCACTTAATACAATCAAATGTTATGCAACTGGTGATTATGTTATACATCACCAGGGAATAATGACAAGAAAAAGGTAGGTATATATTAGAGACAAAAATCATAATGTTTTCCCTAAATATTTTCAATATTCCATCAATTGAATCTGCAGATGCAAAACGGGCAGATTTGGAGGGTCCATAGTGTTCCTGACACTTTGTGGATTTGTGCTATGCTGGTAACAGTCATTATAGATGAGGACACATGCAACCAAAGGCTTCCCTGGGAGGATCACTGAAAAACTATTTACAAGGTCACTGTCCTGAGAGAACTTTCATGAGATGTTTCTAAGACCAGTGCGAACATTCATATGCCTAATTAAACAAAAAGCTAACCACAGGTCTCTTGATGCTATCAGGACTGCTGTCTGGGAAAATCCCACACACAGAGAGTGTGAGGCCTCCATTCCAGCACTGGTCATAAAGAGAAACTCAGCTTCAGGGCATGGTGCCTGTCCACTAATGTGCTCCTCTCAGCCATGCGGGCAGGGATGGGACAAAGCTCTGCGTCTCTGTACCCCTCGGTTTCAAAAGAAAATCTAGCTGTCTTGGACAAGTTGGGTCCCACGAGGTCTGGGTCAACAGTGGTCAAAACTAAGAACAGAAAAGCAAGAAAAAGTACTGGAAGCTTGCTACTAATTTGTGTCTGAGGCAGACCTGTGTCTTCTACACAGGTAAGTTCTCTTAACCTCTCTTTGATTTATAAGCACTGATTAATTATTCAAAATTCTGAAATTATAAATGGATTATTTTAAATTCTTTTAAAATGTGAATGAACTATTAGGATATGAAATTTTGGAAAGTAGAGTGTTTTATCGTGTCGTCTTACCAAGGAATTCCACAATAGCCTGGAATGGAGTATAACAAAGATTTATTTATTTGGGGATAAACTCACAGTAAGAGTAGCTATCTGCAGTCCTCTGTATGCGCTGGGAACTGGAAATGAATCAGGCAGCAAAAGGGGCCATGCACGCCTTTTGTCTGCATTTACAGTACATTAGAACACACCCAAAATGGGCTGGTATCTTAAAGGCTGTTGGTTGAAGGACTTCCCACAATATCATATCAAAAGATGTGTCTGATTGCACTTCTGAAAAGTGCCGAGGGGTGTGGTGTGGTGTGTGTGTGTGTGTGTGTGTGTGTGTACACATGTGTATACATGTGTGTGCATTTCTCATTGTCCTTGGACTTTTAGAAACTCCCTTGACTATGTTTATTTTAGAAAAAGAACTTATCTTTCCCAATTTTCTCATCAAACTAGGGGCAGAAGCATACCTTTGAGGTCAATGGTTTTCTTGGTTTGCTGTTGAAGAGGAGATGTCTCAACTGCCTTCAAGTAAAGGTCACCGAAATATCAATATGCTTCTAAAACAAAAGGACCAAAAGGCTCAGCTTTCGGCGTCAGTTAAAGTATGGTGATGCAAATTGCGGAAAATCAGTGGCCTGTATCTCCAAGAGTTATTTAATAATGAATTTATCAGTAGAAAAATAAGAGGATCTCTCTCAAGTAACTCATACGCAAAGCAGCTGAGCCAAGCGCAGGGAGAGGCAGAGCTGCTGGGCTTAGAAGGTGATGTTCCAAGGAGGACTGTGCCGAAAGAGGCAGGGGTGTAATGTTCCCACGCTCCCCAAAGCCCTGAAATGATGTGAACACACCCAAAGTATAGTGACTTCAGCCAAGAAGCCCAAAGAAGGTGTGTGTGGAGAGGACCCAACACGGAGGGTGTTCCAAAGTAGAATAACCCAGACCATAATCAGTACATGCTCATAGTTTTATCCCTCAGAATCCAAAGAAATAGGCAGATATTTGGGATAATTCTAACCAGTTGGTCCTCTCCTGGATTAAATTCACAGAATCAGGGAATGCTATGGTAAAAAGGCCCTGGCTGATGCACAAATGATGTGACCATACCTCCATGGTGGCCTGAGGTACAAGTATTCAGGTTGCATCCTAGATTGCCCCTCACTCATGTTCTCTAGAGCTCAGGAGTGGGCTCTTCAGTTCTGTGCAGGTGAGTGCTCTTACAACTTCAGTCACGGGCAAAGAACCTCAAAGAGTTCTGTCTCTTATCAAAGCCCTAGGCTTTGTGTTTGCCTTAGTTTGAACACAGTTCCTCTGAACTCTCATGATTTACCTGTTGGAGTGCCTGGGCTCCTGAGAGAAAGGCACCGTTATTCATAAGGCGGCAGCCCACTCGGATCACAATGTGAACTCCTCTTCTTGTCCCACAGGCCTGACTGACAAGCGCTCAGTTTCATCAGAAGAGGCTCTCCTGTGTGAAGACTCAAATGTACTTCCTGGGTAAGGTGAAATAGTGAGCTCTGGAGTCCAGGGACAGGGAGGTGGGAGGAGGGTCTTCCAGGGACCCTGGTGAGGGAACTGACCTGTGTATGGAGGGACCCTGGAGTCTCCCTTTGTCCGAGACACACAGACTCGTATCTCCTGAATGTGACAAGAGAACACTTGCTTAGTGGCGTTTAAAACTGTCTGCTAATACTCACCCAATCCTTATTTCCCCAAAGTTACAACACTTAATTAAGACTTCCGAAATCCATGTGCATGTGCCATCAAAGCTAGGATCCATTCCCTTTGGAACCTGCCCTGTCCTAGAAACCAACACATCTAGCTCAGGTCAACACTGCACAAGCATCAAACTGGCTTCAGTTTTTATTCAGATTTGCGGAAGAAGTTGTTGATCTGACCCTTACCTTTGTCGCTGGGAAAATGAAAGACTGTTGAAGGTATTGAAGCAGAGAACAGGCCCAAGTGCTTAGCAGAGTAAAGACCTTCAATAAACTTTAGCAATGGCTATAATTGACAGCAACATTTCTTGGAATGGCGTTGCATGGAGAGCGGGTCCCTTGTTCCTCTACAACCTGGGTGGACTGTCCTTGTCCTAGATAGCCCAGCCCATAGGAACTGTCACTAGTAACTACGACCTTTTAACTTCCAGTTGGCTCAGTCTCAGCAATCCTAAATAGCCAGTGACATCACAGTTTATGCATGAGCCACTGATGATGGGCTCTGAGTCCTAGCATTCAGAAGTGGATAGCTTGTTTGGGTCTTAGCATATAAATGTATGGATATCCATATTTTCACACACATAGATAAAGCACTAGGATCTGGTTCTGTTGCCAGACACTCCTGGATGTTACTGGTACACTACATGGGGCTGTCACCTTGCTCTCATGTCTTGTATCCATGTGTTCAAGTTTAGTTCTTTGCTGCCTGACTCTCACCACACCCTTAGCCGCTTCTTTCCCAGTCTACATATCTTCAGTCTTTGGCTCCACCGTGGACTGAACCATCTCAACTGGTCCTATGTTAATACTGGCTTTAGGATTGAAAGAATTTCAGTAATCTATCTTAGCTGCACATAATAATAGGGCTCAGAGTGATATATCTACATTTGTATTCTGTATGCATTGATCAAATCAAACCGCCTCTCCTCCACCTGCCCCAACCTCTGGTAATTATTACTATTGTGTTTTCAGTGGAGCTCTAAATCCTCAACTTTTCCCTGAGTTTTCTGAGCATCTTCACCCTTTCATGTGCAGCCTTTAGAATATTTCTACTCTTGTCTTTTGTCAAAATTATCTTCTTTGATGACAATAAAATCTGAATCTGTTCAGTTAGCACTTCATAAAAATACTTCAGCGACCACACTTACCTTTGACCTTGATCCCCCACCCACTAGCCAAACGTGCCAATCTTTCTAATGGCCTTGTGGTTGCTCTATCTGCTTTTCCCCAGCACGTTTGTTTGCCACCCTCTAAGTTTATGTCTGATTGTTGCACATGTTTTAATAGTGTCTCTTGCCTCTGCTTTTTCCACACCAACTTCCTTCCCCTAAAGATCCAGTAACGACTTTCCCTATGAAACACTATCACTCCCAGGGGAATTAAAGATATCCTTTTCATTTTTACTGCATCGTTTTTATCTCTGTGTCCTCTTTGTCCTACAAAGCAAGCAATAATATTCTATAAGGTTAGGGAAAAGTTGTCATATTCTGGGAATAGAGGCAATGTTATAAGACGGTAATTGAAGTTCATATAAATGAGATGCAGAAAGTTGTGGGCTCAACAAGATGATTCAGTATGTCAAGGTGCTTTCTGGCAAGCCTACCATGAGTTCAATCCCCAGAACACATATGGTTGAAGAACTACTTCTGCCAGTTGGCCTCTGATTACTACATTCACAGACAAATGATATATAAAAAAAATGCTTTTTAATTGTAACTATTACACTTCATGTAATGGGATCCCTACGATGGTGAAGAGAATACTTCAAACTCACTGACTTCAATCTTCCATGACTTCCACAAATACTTACTAAATGCTTCCCACGTCCCAGGAACATGTACAGTATACATGTATCCAAGTAAGTGTGAGGGCTTAGGAAATGGTGTGGAGAAAGGACTCACATACAGTACATGAATGTGTAGACGGATGTATAATCAGGGAGGATTCTGCATGGAGTGGGGTTCCTAGAGTTTTCAAAATGAGGGAGTTCTCCCAGGCGTAAGAGGTGGCAGATACACAGATGGAACGGTCCCGATGGGGGTGGCTGTGCATGCCCATCAGCACAGAATTGCTGGTGGGGCTTAGTGTAGAATAAAAGAGCTTCCTTTTGGGGTCTGTCAGAAAGGGGTGGTCAGGAAGGAGGAAAGCTGGTTTAGCTTCTGACTCTGCCCGCGGAGAGTGAAGCAGGGTTGGGTTCCTGCTCTGCTGTGTGGCTGGCTATCCACCACCAAGGTCTCTGTCTCCCATCTATGTCGTTGGTTGGTACAGGAAGGAAGCTGCGCCATACTAGTCCATATCTCTTTCTAACCTTTCTGTATGAGGCTGGGTTTCTGCTATTTCAACACAAAAGTAGTGTTCCTGCCGGTTTGTTATCAGGAAACCTGCTCCCTTGGTTTTTCTGTCATCTCCTCGTAACTTACCATGGCTGGATACATTTGGGGCACAGCCTGTGCCGTTCTTTTTAAACTTTTCTTACACAGTATTAACAACATCCAGGTATTCTGCGTGGACTTTGTGTGTTTGCTTGTTTATTAACATTAAAGTGGGGTGTATCATGTCATGCATGCGGAGATCAGAGGACAATTTATAGGAGTTAGTTCTCTTCCACCGCGTGGATCTCAGGTATCAAACTCAAGGTAACAGGCTTGGTCACAAGTACGTTTCACCCACTGAACTCTCTTACTGGCCTTTTCCTTGTTTCAAGATTTCTGAGCTGAATACACGTTGTATGAGGTGTGGGCCATTAACTCAAATCGAAGTACATTTTCTGCTCTCGCAGAGGAGGGCAAGAGGGACACAGACACCCCCTGTGTCTGCCCAACAGTCAGTTGTGGGCACCTTCTCAAGCCCGAGGCTGCTGCCGCTCTCACAGCAATCCTATGGTTGTGAGATCAATTGTGATATCAGTTTTACAGATCAGGACAATGAGATCTAGAGGGACAGATCACTGTAGACTCGGTGGTCTCGGTCACTACAGCAAGAAGAAAGGAGCTTTGGAAACAAAGCCCAGGTGTAAAGCTCCGCCAGGGTGAGGTGAGGACTACTGGGGCAGCGGAAATGAAAATTAGGAGATGCCTGGATAGCAACACCCTAGCCCTCAAACGCCATTATGCATTTTTCATTACTAATTAATGCCCCACTTTCCCTGTGATTCTACGGGGATTGTGTTTACTCTTTTACAGTTAATTAAACTAATGCACTGCCCCTGATAGCCAGCAATTATATTACCAAGGTACTTTAGACGCAGCTGGCTCAACAGCCGCAACTAACAGTTCAGTTATCCACACCGCTGTCAGCTGATGCCCAGGCTCAGAGCTGAAAGAGATGGCTTTACTGATTTGCTTCTGAAGAACCTAGACCAGAGGACTGCGTCCTGGAAGCAGGTTGCCTCTGGAGGCGTGGTTCACACTGCAGCAAACTTTGACACGCCCGAGGATTCCACCTCACTCCATGCCCAGAGTGCCAACCATGGGACAACTCCTAGCAACCCCTGGGCGCCGCTATTCTTTAGAACTTCCCAGGAAAGGAATCCTGTCACTTTTGCCAAGTTCCTCATCCATCCAGACACTTCCGTTAGAAATTCATTTTTGTGTATAATAAATTGCTTCTACTTGGCGGAAAATCATTTCTCGCTGTTATCTCTGCTATCGTTACTTCTGCTGCACTTTAATGGACTTCACCTGATTATACGCTAGTCATTAAAAGCTTAGTCCCAGGTACAATGGTATCTTATGTAGAAGGATCCATGAGAGCTTTATACAGGCTTACCAGCCACAGCCTTAATTTTACTCATTCGTCTTAATTTTTTGTAATCATTTTTTGTAAAGAGGGTATAATGTCAGCCTTGCTTCCCGGCCTCTGACAGATCCAATCTAGCAGATAATTACCATAAGGAAATTGATGCTTTAGTGTGCAGGAGAGAATTTAATTTACTCAGACATCCTCCAGTACAATGCATTCCAGAAGATATGAGGATTTAAGTTTTTAAGAAATTAAATTTTACTATTTAACATGATTACTTATGTTGAACATCATTAACTAGCTTTTTTAACTGTTTGAAATAATTACAAGCACACTTGCTATGTCTAAAATCCAGGCTCTGCATTAAATATGGGTTAAGGATCCATGAAATGAAAAGAAAGAACCACACTCTTTTTCCCCCTCTCCAGTCTTCCAAAAACTGCTTTTAAAACATTTAGAGCAATGCTAAAACCATCCTTCTGAAGGATATAGAATCTTTTGGCACATGGCTTTAATGCACACTGGAACCTAAGTATTATATTTGCTGGTCTGGATTGTTTTATTTTTTAAATCTCCCTGAGTCTGGTGTGAGGGGACGTTCTTAGTATGAAGGGTTAGAAGAAATGGGAAGCATTCTGGTGCTGGATGTGGTGATTATGTCGGAACACTTTGGCAAAGGCAAAAAGTATGGGTGAACAGGAAGACATAAATGAGCCACTTCCGGAGCTACCTTTTTCTTTTTCTTTTTTTTCTTTTTTTTATAGCCAGGACGTTAAAGAAACACACACACACAGACACACACACACACACACACATCTCAACGCGTGCAGGTTCATCATAAAATTGAAAAACAAAGACAAGATGTAAAATAAGCTCAAGAAAGCCCAGGTCTGCTCTTGGCTGCTGCAGCAGTGTGACCCCGAGTCCCAAGACCCAGACACAGGCTGTATTTCTTGGCGTCCCCTGTCTTTGTTAACTGATTCCCAAGAGTTCCTCAATCCTTCCCTAAACATGAAGTGAAACACTCAACAGGAAATTTCTGGACAAAGCCAGCCCAGAAGTTCCCTTTATCCAGTGCCTCTCCACGGTCACATTTCCTCTCGGGAGAAGCCAGAGCCTTCTGCATCCGCTGCGGACCCTGTGACCATTTGGGGAAGAGTGGGGATTGCCCAAGGGTCCTCATTTAGAATTCCCCCGTCCCCAGGTGCGGAACCTGGGGGCTGCGGTGGTCCTGGTGTGCAGGGGCTTCTGAATACACACAGTGGGCTCTCTTTGTTGCCGGGCCTCTTTTTTGGTGTCTGCCAAGATGTCTATTTCCATTTCAAGAGTCTGGCAAATGCGGATGTGCTCGAGATGGAGGAACCGCAGTTGGTACATAAAAACTGCACATGGTACACAAACGAGATGCCTTCGGCCCTATTGAGCCCATCCTCTCTTCTTCCTCTGTCTGATTATCTGAAAACTTAAACATAATTTGACTCAGGAATATTCTCGAATGAGTGTCTTTAAGCAAAGAAAGAGGAAGTGAAGCTGTGGGTCATGTAAAAGTATTGTAGGTGCTCTGGGTTTGAAGAATTCCCAGGGCAAGGGCTGCAGAGAGATTCCACCGCCTCACAAGCCTGCTGAACTTTCAAAGCATCTTGTAAGGGAGAGATTCCTCTTCAGACTTCACAGATGCAGAAAATGAGACTTAGAAGGGTTGTTTATTTATCTTTTTTGTTTAAATGCATTTTATTAATTCTGTGAGAGTCTCACACATTTATACAATGTATTTTGATCATATCCACCCCATGCAGTTATGCACGGAAGATGCTACCAGCATTAGAGATGCCAGATAAAAACATTGTTGGTCACAGCACTGTGTCCTGTGTGTGGAGACACACACACCTTAGGAACCCATATTAACACATTGGTTTTTTCAACCGCTCCCATTTTCAATACAAACACTATAGCAAAGGGCCCCTCATACCCTGGTTATTCTTTTCCCAGTTCGCCACACTGAATGCATCCCCCAACCCTGACCACAAAAGCACAAGCCAGAGCTTCCTCTTTCCGATAGGCAAGCTCTTGCCAGTTGTGGGGTCCTCACTTCTGCTCCCAAAGAAATCCACATCTCTCAAACACTTCAAGTTAACCATCTCGTTGCTGCATTGGTCCTACTCGGAATCTGCTTCCATCTGGTTCCCTAACAAGAAAAGCACAGTTACAGATGTTACATGGCCACGGCCTTCAGAGCCAGCCTGCGGATCCTAACCTGCATTCACAGCTAGTTCTTGTTCCCTGGGTTTAGTGAGAAGCCCAGCAACTCAGACACAATTCTGTCCTGGTTGGGATCAACTTAGATGGACCAGATTATACAGCTCACATGGCAAGCATTTAACACCAAAGAATCACAATTATGCTCACAAAAACAACAAAAGCTAGTGTGCACATATTTCCCTGTGATTTCCCAGGAGAGAACAGTAGGCTGGAAGAACATCTATTAATGCCTAAACTTCCCCCACCTCCAGCGCACACACACACACACACACACACACACACACACACACACACTAAACCTCCCGAAGTCTAGAATGGACTGTTTGTATATTGATTGACAGCTTATGTATCCCAAGATCCAGTGAATGGAAACTTCCTTCAGTCTATAATTGCTAATAAAATGTGTTTAGGAGTTTAGAAAATAAGGGACTGACAACCAGGGCCATCCCTATGCCCGATGAGAGACTTCATTTTCTGATCAGATTAATTTATAGTTAAGTACTCCCTAGAGCATCGGGTCCCTGAAGTAGCCTGTGCCGTCTGCCCTGTCTCTTACTCCAGCCCCAAAGCCAGGCACAGATCGTGGCAGAGTGTGGCTACTTGGAAACCAGGAATTGAAGAATTGATAAAGTTCCAGAGTTATCTTCCTTACTTTCTGGATGTACATTTACTTTCCCAGACTCCCACCTCTGTGTCCTGTCTTTTAGTCTTCAAACTCTGATAACAGCTGTGCGTAGCTCACTTTGGAGGGGAGATGGCAGGCTACAGAGAGCTGGCATTAATTACTCCACTTATTTCAGAGACAACTGCGGATTTAAATGAACAACTTTTAAACCAACGAGAGTTAATTCTTGAAATTGATTTTTTTCACAAACACAAAATATAGGGTTTACTTTTTAAAAAATACAAAACTCAGTGTAGTCTTTTCTAGAAGGATGAACTAGGCTACATCCTTGCAGGATCTGTGTTTGGGTCCACCTCACCCTACACAGGAAGCCAGACCTAGTACGTATCCCTCCATTGCCTGGCTTCCTGCAGATATGAAATCATGTTCAAACTGCAAGCCTTTGACCATATTTTAAGTCGAAAAGACACCGGTATAGATGTTTCTTACAGACAAGTCACAACGCTAGCAAGACTAGAAAGTCAATCCTCACCCTTTCCAGGGGTCTTTTGACTGCTGAGGGCACCAGCTGTTTAGATCTGTATGCTGTGCTGATGAGCATCTCAAAAGGAAGACTTATCCTGCTTACATTTGTCAGTTCTTGCGCATATGCAGAGTACCTTAACTCTCCACGTTTCCTACCATACACACAAGCGTGTTTGTTCACCAAGTCATGATCATCCTATTCACTGTGTAGTCCCTCCTTCCTTGATTTTGCTTCTTTCATGACCTGATTGTGCCTTTCCTGGAAGATAACAGCAGCTACAAAGTAGGTCTGACCTTCAGGTCTCTTTCCACTTACTCCACCCATCCCCTGTGCTTTAACAAGTTCCTAAGCTGGGGGGTCTGTGCTTTTCTCAGAGGATCCCCGACACCAAGAGGACAAAACCTCCAGCATTTGCATGGTCCTTACAGAGCTCAGGGCCCTCTCTGACATGCCCCGGCCTCAACTTTGCCACTTCCCTTCTCTAGTGCCTTATTAACCACACCCTCACTGGGAACTTCACTTGAGTCACACCACAGGTAGTTCCCACAGCGTGAAATGACCTTGACCTCCTTCAGACTTGGATGCGTATTAGTTCCCCAGTTAAAACCTCATGTATTCTTGTCCATGTGGCAGATTGTTACTCAAAGTGTCAGATCCAGGCAAAGCCTGACTCCTCGGCACTTCTAGGACTTGCCTGCTAGAATGTCAAACTTTTTGACTTGCCTGTCCACTGTGGAACCTTGTGTATGCCCGTACTCGGCAGACTGGTGTCCATTTTGACCCTGTCACCAAGTGACCAAGAAATCATGAAGGAATAAATTTGCCTTTCTGGATGAACTTCTTAATGTTTACTGTGGAAATGGATTGGTGTTATGTATTTCAGCTACGTAGTGCAAGATGTAGTGTACAGTGTTGAGTAACAATAATGACAGTAATTATGTTCTACTACAGTATTGGCTATTTCCCAGTTTCTCCTCTGAACTATGGCACCTTCATTCTCAAAGAGTTTGGCTCTTTCTGTACGTATCTGCCCACAGATCAGAGCCATGGTGCCAAACCTCTCTGGATAAATAGCAAAATGGCCAATGAAGAAAGGTTTAGCCCACCAATACTCAAAGCCTTTGATAGCATTTTCATGCTCAGCGGACTGAAATGGGACTACCTTGGGGTACGGATGTCAGGCAACATACCACAGCAAGTCTTTGCCATTGTGAGAGACGTCTGGAGGCACTAGACAAAGTAGACAAGACTTCAAGCACAGCTCTCAGTGAGACATTACGCTGTTTGCCACAGAGAGCTGGCAGAGCTGGAATTGATCGTGGGGTTGACATTTATAAGGAAGCACCAGAGGATCTGTTCAGGGAAATGGTCACAGTGGTGGGCTTTGGGCTCTTTGGGTGACGGGTGACTGAGGCAAAGGGAACTGAAAGGGGCAGTGGTTGTCTGACACAAGAGACCAGTTCAAATTATTTTTCTGGAAATCAGAGGATCTGTGCAGTGGCATGGTGTCACCAGGGATCCTCCCATACAGCTGGGACCATCATTTTAAAGACTATGCACTCAAATGGTGCGGAAAAATTCAGCTACTCAGTGACCACACAAGTATGAGTTTGAGAACTTTATCCCGAACATCATTGAACCTCAGTGTCCTCAAACAAAAAAAAATATACTTTATAAATTTTAGCTATCTCAGAATGACTGTATAGTGCCTGCTAGGTATTCAGAAAATGAGGAAACTCGTTATAAAAATTAAAGTTATTCAAAACATTATTGTAGATTGATATATATTCTGTATCTCAGAGACATCTTTAATGGGCTACGAAAAAGAAAATAAGCAAATAATTTCTGAGAGGAGCTGCAAAAGTCATGGCCTGCCATCTGGAACACTTTATGGAGCAGTTCCATGTCCCCAGTATGTATGATGTTTGACACTGTGTGTGCTTATTTGTTTCTTTCCATCCTAAGACTAAATGCTTTCTGGAAACTCCCTTGATTGGAGAATTGCGATTGTACATCCAGTCCTACCTACCCAACATCATTTTTCTTAGAGCATCTCTGTACCTTGATCAGCAATAACAGGGTTAATGATGCTCTCATTCAAAGAGTCACAATTATGTTTCAACATCAGCACCCATTAAAATGAATGACAATGCATTATAAGTACTGTTTCAATTTGAAATTGAAATTGTGTCAATTAGCCTTTAAACTAGCCTAAATAAATTCCGTTTGGTAGCTTAAAATTTACTCAAATGCTTCAATTTTAGATGTGAGGGTTTTTTTTAAGGTTTTATATTCAAAGCTAAAGATTCATAACAACAATCATATCTATTTCAATAATCTCTTATCTCAGGAAAAAAATGGCAGGGACCATAATCCCAGACTGACTGTGGTGTAACAAGAGCGACTCTTAGCCAAAAGCGACAACAGGCAGGAATAAAGCCCCTCTAGAATGCTGTAAAGGAGGGGAGGGTTTAAATTCCCTAGAACAAGAAGGTATGGTGATCTGATGAGTCTATAAAGACCACACGTTTTCAAAGCCAGCACTGGCTGCTTAGCAAGTGCGAAGCCTTGAATTTGACCCTCGGTATTAGACTAGGGAGGAAAGGCTCGCTTTAAGCTATCATCTTTAGAGAGTCTTCTACCCCCAAGCCATCAGGTGAGAGGTCTGTAGCCTGAAAACTAGGTGTGACCCTACTCTCAGTTCCTCTGGGCCTATCCTGCCCCTGCCTTACTTCCTCTACAGTTGTGTACAAGTCTACCCCCAACTTAGGTGCAAGCTTCATTGAAGACAATCTGGTTTTATTAATCTTTCTAGATATCTCCAATCTAGCAAGGGAGTTTACACTAAAAAGCCTGTGTCTATTAAAATAACGATGTTCTAGCTCATTGACATTTCCAAATAGATATGTTTTCAGTCTAATGGAATGTATTTCTGTGTCCTCCGAAATCGCACTGAAAGCCTCATTCCAAAGTGAAGCATGAGGAAATAAGGCCTGGGGAGCATGATCTGGCTACCAGGGCAGAGCCACCGCATTCAGGATCTGTAGGCATATAAAGTCAAAGTCATGAGGCAGTGTATTTTTTAATCTCTACTCTGTTCTCTCTCATAGGAAAATAGAACTAGAAGGCATCAGTCTGTAACTAGGAAGAGAGCCCTCGCTGGCATTTGAGAGGGTTTAACACCACAGAACCAATGCCAGGGAGGGACCTTAGCAAGTAAAGGTCCACCACCAAGCTTAGCAACTTGAATTAGATACCCAGGGTGTATATGTGGAAAGACAGAACCAACTACAAATTGTCCTCTAATCGCCACAGGTACGCGCACATGCACACACACACACACACACACACACACACACACACACACCAAACAAACAAACAAATAAATGTGATGTGGTGTGAACGATAAAATAGCATAAAAATAAAACCAGGGGCCACCCTCATGTGTAAGATTCTACCTACATGACTTGAGCAAATAACTTCTCCTTGAAAATGAAGATTAATATCCAGTAAATATCTTCCACTCCCTTCTATTTGCAGGGGTTAGGAGTACTGGGATTGACTGTTTCTCTGATGCTGGCTAAGTAAGATGTTAGCCTTCCCCTAGTCCCCAGTTTATTATTCATAAAGCATGGATAACAATTTTCATAAAATCAGACGTCTAGAAAGCTGTCCGTAGAGCAGGACATAGCTAAGAAACCAATACTGGAAACAGGGAACTTGGAGAACATTAAAATCGCCCAGGAAATTCCCCCTGGCTCAGTAGTGGCACAATTATAAGGTAAGTGACAGCTTTCTGATTGGGTTTGAGGCTTACTCCAAAAAGGGATTTCATGGCTGTTCTAACCTTAGTCAAAAGTCCACGGCTGGGAAAGTCATATCCCTAGGATGCTGTTAAAAAAAAAAAAAAAAAACCTTTGTATTTATACCCGTAGGTCTTGACTGCTCTCAACTCGGGACAGACAAGTTTCTTTTTGGAGTGGGCAGAAGTACATGGAGAGGTGCACAAGTGGTCAAAATCTACAGAAGAAGGAGTGTTTTGCCTTACACTGGACTATATCACCCCACTGCCACCACAACCACCACCAATACTCAGGGTACTACCAAGAAGAAGGAAAGGAATGTAAACACCAGAGGATGCTGAGAAATGACTTCACACATCCATTCTAGGTCATCAAACGTGTCTAGAGCGAGACAACAAACCAGGTACAAACCTCAGCCCGAGAGAGGCCAGGTAACAAAGAGGGATGGTGGGGGAGCACTCAGATCTCCCTGAGAAGGGAAGATAGAAGAGATTCCCTGAGTGAACTGAGGGTGGGTGGGAATGGGGGGAAAAAAGCGATCAGGTTGTGGGGGCGGGGGAACGAAGGAGGAGAGTACTGAAAGAGACTACTAGAAACGGGGGACATTTCAGGGTAGGTAAAAACTTTGACAAAGGGAATCTCCTTAGAAGCTACAGGGAGGAGCCCAGGTAAGACTCCTAGCAATCGCAGATAAGTAGCCTGACCTGGATATCTCCTATAACCAGATTGGTGCCTAACCCATTTGTCATCAGAGAGCATCATCCAGCAGCCAATGGAAACAGATACACACCCACAGCCAAACGTTAGTTGGAATTCAGAGAATCCTGAAGAAGAGAAGAAAGGAGTGTAGGAGATAGAGGGGTCAAGAACATCACAAAAAAACTCACAGAGTCAACTAATCGGGGCTCACAGGAGCTCACAGAGACTGAACTGACAATCAGGGAGCCTGCAGAGGACTGACCTAGGCCCTCTGCATATATGTGACAGTTGTGTAGCGTGGTCTTCTCGTGGGACTCCTAACAGTGGGAGCAGGGGCCGTCTCCAACTCTTTTACTCTCGTACTGGGTCACCTTGCCTAGCCTTAAAATATGGGGGAAGTGCTTAGTCTTACTGAAACTTGATATGCCATGTTTTGTTGATACTCATGGGAGACAGGACCATGAGTATCAACAGAAATGGAGGAGGAGTGGATTTGGGGATAGGAACATAGGAGGGATGGAGAAAAATAACAGGGAGAAAAAGAGGGAGGGGGTAAATGTGGCTGGCCGGTCATCTTTGGTCGTCTTTGGGGACTTCAGGTGGCTTCTCAGTGATATGGAGTTTTGAGTGATAACCTACCCTAGAATTCTGAGAGGATCGGGTTCGATGGTCTGCATGAGAACACTTTATAAACTGAAACCAAATACAAACATGAAAAGAAAAAAAAAAGATAATCCGTCTGACCTGGAAAGACTACTGGGGATTCCCAGAACAAGGTCATTGCCCTTGATCTCCCTTTGGCCAGGAGGAAGTTACCATCTTGGGAAAGAGAATTCCTAATCGTGGAGCCAGGAAGTGTAACCTCCAGACATGCTGTTGAAAGCATCAGCGAAGCAGTAGCTGTGGGCACACCCTTGGCTGTGGAAGTCACGTGTCCTGGTCATCTTCCCAGAGACAGGATAGAAGGCAAGAAGTCAGAAACTGGTGTCACAGACCGACAGACTTTGTCACAACAATTCTCTGTCCTAAGGGCCCTTTCATCCACCCATCATTTTTCTTTATGAAGAAGGCATCTGAGCTTGTGACCCTCGTTCGTTTGGGTCTATATTTGCATTCTTCCCTGGGATGCCCCTGTGCATACAAAGAATGAATTTAGTTAGCTTTCCTGTGTCTGCTCGCCATTGGCTAGCATCAAAAGGCCATGGGGCCCTCAGAGAGTGGAGAGGTCCTCTCTCTCCTGCCCTAACTATGCTTTGGCTAATAGCTGCTGACTTCTCCTACACACCTCTCAGTAGGTGAGTCCAGTACCCGTTCTGTCCCAGATCTCACTCCTCTGATGCCTTTGGCTCTGGCCTCTCTACCAGGCAGCCATCCTGTTGCCCATGGATGTTGTCCATAGCACCTGCCTTTGTGCATACAGGGCTCCTTTTCCTCTAACCAAGCCCTGCTCATATGCAAGCACCACCTCTATGAACTAACTGTAGAGTGTGGGGAGTTCTATCAAACAACCATTTCAGGAGCCAAGAATCAGGAGCACTTGTGAAGCATGCTGGAGGACTCCAGCAGATGGAGACCAGGGCTTGGCAGGCAGTCCCCCTCCCCAACCTCTGTCCCTATTCAGATCTTCTCCTTGTGCCATGGCTCATCCTCAGGACCATTCTCTTCTCTGGCACCTGGACTGATTCTGTTTGCCTCCAGAAACCCAGGAAAATGCACTGTGACCCAAAGATACCAAGGTAGCCCCTGTCCATGTGTTTTAGTTTTTCCAAGTTTGGCAAAACAAGGACTCATAGGAGTTATGAAACACTTGCAAATGAGGCTCAGAAAGAAACTGAAGTTGGTCAAAGTCTATCTTTGTCTCTACATTTAGTAACAGTTATATTTAACTCAGTGGAGTTTAGGAGTCATAAAACCCAGTTAGTGATACCAACTCTCACTGCTGTACAGGAGTCATTGGGCAAATGGGGGCCACGATGCTTAATTTTGCTAATTTGTCATTGCTCAGCAGATAGGAGCTATGAGGGCTGTGAATACAATGGATTTATCCTTGCATCTCTGCACTAACAAAGATAATTTGTCTCTGTGAATTCTTTCTCCCTTGGTATTTTAAAGCAGTAATAAAAAAAATGCTAGTCTCTTTACACATTCGTTCTGATTTCGTCTTCCTCCCATCATCCCTCGAGCCTTAATTGACCCTTTATTATTCTCTTGCTCCCGTCATTTCCCATTTCCAATATAGTTCCAGGCGGGTAACTCTAAGCTGTTGTTTGAACCTGTCTCGCCATAAATACAATTTGACAAACTATTTCCAAGCAGTCAGTAATGTGAGAAGGGAGGTGAGCCTCGCTTCGCGTCTCATTGAACCTCGCGCGTCTTTTCAGCGTGAACAGCTGAGCTGAGAGGAAAGGGCAATATTATTTTGCTTAGATTTCAGACAATAAAAACTGTGATCATCAACCTGGGGATAAATTTCAGGCTCACCCCTTCCCTGTGCTGATAGAAAAAAAGGTCAGAGTCGTCACAAGAAGGATGGTATGCACGCAGGACAAAGCCCTATGAGTACAGCTGTGTGCAGGAGTGTCATGGACCACCAAGCTGAGGAAATTTGGAAGAGAAATTAGATTGCTCATTGCCACCTCTCCCACTAAATTTGGGGAAAGAGGTGAAGACATGGGGTTGGTTTGACATGCACAGATATGCACAGGTCTTAAATATGCACAGATCATTCTTTCTTACAGCATAAAACTTAAGAACAGTGACTTTCCTTCAGTCTTTCTGTGGACTTTGAGTAGCAATGGCCCATCAGCTATAATATAAGAAGAAAAGCCATTTTTACATATTGGAGTAGAAAACCGTTTTTAAATATCTGCCTGTGACATGTTTTATACAGATTACATTTTCCCTTTATAGTTTGAACTGCTGCTTCCCTTACTATCAACACTTACCATCTATACTTTCCTGCCAGGCTTAATATGGTCCAAATAGGCCAACTGTCACAGAGCTGAGAAAGTATACACTGGGGGTCTATAGTGCTCTGCACTCACTTGTCACCAGTGCTAGCACCACCAGGGGAGGATGTGTCCAGCCAGAGGGAAGCCACGATACACTACTTGGCTGATCCAGGCAACGACAGGAGCCACACTGGTACCTGGTATCTGGACCCCTCTGTTCAGCAGTCATCCACCATGTTCTGTCTACTACCTCTAGAGTGACTTTCCTGAAGCTCCAACAATAAGCACCAGCCATGCAACTATCCTTTGGGTGCTGTGTTCCATCCTTCTTCATAATGACATGGGTAGTTTTACTTGTACCACGGGGCTTAGCAACTTCGGGACATGGTGTTCTCATCACTGAGTCAAGAACGTTCATCTTTTCGTTAAACGAAACGCTTAGGGTTTCCCTTTGGCGTGTCTAAATTGCCATCTTCACTCCTCTTGTGCTTTGGGCCATTATCACGTTAAATAAATGTGTTATTTGATCGTGACATGATCACGTGACAGCTTGACAGTTGATTTGAAAGCATCTACTAAATGACAATGGTCAGGTGCAATATACACCATATGTCCATCGCATAAAGGATATGATTCATATCCCACACAAGTCAGAGAGGCCAGTGCAGGGCTTTGTCATCCTTCTCAAAACATCCAGGGTTTATAACTTAAGAATACTATTTTAATTTTCCATTTAATATTTTTGGATTGTAATGAAATGGTGTAGCTAAGACTTCAGGAAGTGAAACCATGAATGTGGAGGGAACTACTTACTTTATGTACCTACGAACTGTGAGATATTTTGCTTAAAGAACTCCTTGCTTGACAAGGGACATCCTTTCCAAAGTGAATTTCTGCCTTACAAATTATGGACAAAAAAATAGGTAAAGTGGTTTATACATTGTTTCAATCCCAAATACCCTATAATAGGCAAGAAGGCAGGGGGAAACTCTGTTTAAGACCTCACTAACTTCCCAACCTGCCTCTGCATTTTTGTATATTCTATACCATACCATTCCTATTTGTCAGCCTAGTTAGAGTCTATGGAGCTTCCATTTGGGTTAGGCACTGGCTCTTTATTGGTCTCTGTGCCTCAACTTGATTCTTCTTACCTCACAATTACACCTATTCATGGAGCATATGCTAACATTTCACCACTCAAAACATCCAGTGAAAACAACTTTCCCCCATTGACCTGGGGGCCATTCAATTCCCCCTATGGTTACACCCAAACCAGGAAATTCTAATACGAACATTACTTGGAGCCAAGAGCACACTATAGTCTAATGGGACTACACATGAACTATGACCGAGAAACAAGAGGAATAGGACTATGGTTGAAGTGGGAAATAAGTTTTGATATAATATGCAAGAAAAGTGATCAGAAAGAGAACCACAAAATGGGTAAGAATGCTAAAAAAATATTCCCTTATTAAGACTTCCATGTAATATGTCAATGGGAAAGGCTTAAGATGTAGTTCATGAGTAGAGTATTCACTTAGCATTACAAAGCCCTACTTCAATCTTCTGTAAACACAGACACACACACACACACACAGAGAGAGAGAGAGAGAGAGAGAGAGAGAGAGAGAGAGAGAGAGAGA